TTTCGCCGATGGGAACTTGGGTCCCCCTCGCAGCGAGGGCGCAACGAGTCGTTTGGCTGATGCAGAGCGTAGTGCACGTGCTGGGGTGTACGGTTTAACCATGTCCTGGATGTAGGAAGGGCCAGATCCATTCGCAGCACGGTAAGCAAGTACCAGTGTCTTGAAGTGGATTCTAGCAGTTACCGGAAGCCAGTGAAGGGAGCGGAGGAGCGGAGTGGTGTTTTATATTATTTATTGTATTTATTTACTTTTATATTATTGGTTTACTTTTTCTATTTCATTTATTTACTTTTTCTATTACTTAATTTATTTACTTTTAATATTTATTTATTTAATTGTTTATTTCCTAATTAATATAACATTAAAATAATATTATGAAAAATATATTACTTTTGTATTAATTATGTATTCTTTAACAGGGACAGTTTACATACATAACAAATATCTGATGGGCTTTTTATTTCATTAAATCCCTGCAAATATCCAACCATCCTTTTACAGTTTGCATCAACATATAAATACACCACGAATTAAAACATGTATTGTAATGACCAGAAACGCTGCACGGCTGAAGGAGGCAGCGATCAGTCTGTGTCCGGGGAGGAGCCTGCACGAGGCGGGCGTGCACGTGTGGACTACGTGGTAGTGGACCCTAAAAGGACGAAGGCCCTGAGGAGCACCAGAGAAGCATTGCATGATGGGAGGATGTCCACGGAGAAGGAGAAATGTTAGAGAGAGAGACACACACTGCTGTACATCGCTGCTGTACAAAAATAAATACGAAAATATACATCTCTTGAAAAATAAACAATACACCAAATACAGAAACCCTGACTCGATATCGATAGATTTATGATTAGAAAAATATAAAAGTAGGGTAGTGGAGATTATCCGGCTGAACAAAACGAAATACTTAGTTGTATCTAATGCACTTTAAGTATTTTCTCATCAATAGACCACAGCTTTATATTGGGGTGAACATGCGTCCCTCTAATGGCCACTAGATGGAGACAAAATAAATAGAGTGCAATATTTTCTCGTCTTTCTTTCCACATTGAAGTCCTTAAAGCTGCCTGTAAACATGTTTTAAACTGTGCTAATATAGTTTATTATTAATGTTATTATTGTTCTTGTTGTAAAAGCCTGTGTTCTTCATTACTTCTCTTCTTTTAAATCATTTACACAAAAGAGTCACAGCCACTTCTTTAATATATAATATTCAAGATTCAAGGCTTTATTGTCATGTGCACAGCACCTGCTACAGCGTAGATATGTCAATGAAAAGCGTAAGACTAGTCTAGGGACTTGGTCTTTGAACCGAAGGGTCGCTGATTAGTTTCTATCGGACCAAAACAATAAATAACAATATGGAGTTGGAGAGATGCCAGATCACCTCCAAGGACTCATGAAATAGAACTGTATATATTTCAATAATCTAAACATTTTTAGAATATGATCACAACTAATGATAAATAATGTAAACTTGTTTTATGTCACATAAAACGGTATAGTAGGGAGAAAAAGGGATGCATTTACAAACAGTACATTACATTGCATTGCATTTAGCTGACGCTTTTTTCCAAAGCGACTTACAATAAGTACAAAAGGTGAGGCACCAATGATACTCTCAGCTTCACTTCAAACTCATTATTGATGATAGCATGTGTAACATAAATCATCAAAAGTAGTTTTCTGATAGTTAAATCACAAGCTGATGAGATCCTTGGACTTTTCTTGTTTTATAGCATAATGCTCCGAAGATTCATTTGAAGAGGGGGTTTCAGACTCAATCACAATGGTCCCTGGGGCTTGAATATCTGAGGAACTAATCTTCTGTTCAACTTCATTGTTGTTTCTCCAATAAAGAGATTTAGTACCCCGAACTTTGAAGACATAGACCGTGACTGAGAGACAGACTAGAAATGCTGCAACTGCCACTGTCACTCCAACGTAGATCCAGATGTTTCTCCGTCTCTCTTCTTGAGGACTCTCTGTTGGTCTCTGGGTTTGGAGCTCAGCAGCAGCTGTGGAAAATACACAGTTAGTAAAATCATGTTGACATGGAGAAAACCTATTTTTGTGAAAATAAAGAGTTTATTATTCATTATCTGCTTCAGAAGCTTCAATAATTTTGCATCTTTATTTACCATTGCACCAGAGATAACATCTGAGTTTACTCACCAGTGACGTTGAGCCAGCATCTCCTAGAGTTACTCCCATCAGGTCTGACGAGTATGTCACACACATAAAACCCAGAGTCATTGGTCCTGAGTCTGGAGACATGAAGTGTGAGTCGTCCATCTGTGAGGACGTCTTTGTCCCACTGGACTCGTCCTGCAAACTGTGGATCCTGAGACTCTGGGGATTCAACACCTTGATGGAGATGAAACAGGACTGAGTACCTGCCTTCAGTAAACAACTGACAGAAGGTAGAAATGGATCTGAGGGAAGTTTCTCTTCTGGTGCTGAAGGTCCACTCCAGGGTGATGTTCTGGTTCTCCTCTGCCTGATAGGAAGTCTGAGTCACATTCACTACAAATGTTCCTGTGGAGGAGACACAGAGGGACTCTTTAAACTGCAGCTATGTTCCTGTGGAGGAGACACAGAGGGACTCTTTAAACTGCAGCTATGTTCCTGTGGAGGAGACATAGAGGGACTCTTTAAACTGCAGCTATGTTCCTGTGGAGGAGACACAGAGGGACTCTTTAAACTGCAGCTATGTTCCTGTGGAGGAGACACAGAGGGACTCTTTAAACTGCAGCTATGTTCCTGTGGAGGAGACACAGAGGGACTCTTTAAACTGCAGCTAAGTTCCTGTGGAGGAGACATAGAGGGACTCTTTAAACTGCAGCTATGTTCCTGTGGAGGAGACATAGAGGGACTCTTTAAACTGCAGCTATGTTCCTGTGGAGGAGACACAGAGGGACTCTTTAAACTGCAGCTATGTTCCTGTGGAGGAGACACAGAGGGACTCTTTAAACTGCAGCTATGTTCCTGTGGAGGAGAAACAGAGGGACTCTTTAAACTGCAGCTATGTTCCTTTGGAGGAGACACAGAGGGACTCTTTAAACTGCAGCTATGTTTCTGTGGAGGAGACAACAGAGGGACTCTTTAAACTGCAGCTATGTTTCTGTGGAGGAGACACAGAGGGACTCTTTAAACTGCAGCTATGTTTCTGTGGAGGAGACACAGAGGGACTCTTTAAACTGCAGCTATGTTTCTGTGGAGGAGACACAGAGGGACTCTTTAAACTGCAGCTATGTTCCTGTGGAGGAGACAAAGAGGGACTCTTTAAACTGCAGCTATGTTTTGTGGAGGAGACACAGAGGGTACTCTTTAACTGCAGCTATGTTTCTGTGGAGGGAGACACAGAGGGACTCTTTAAACTGCAGCCTATGTTTCTGTGGAGGAGACACAGAGGGACTCTTTAAACTGCAGCTATGTTTCTGTGGAGGAGACACAGAGGCGACTCTTTAAACTGCAGCTATGTTTCTGTGGAGGAGACACAGAGGGACTCTTTAAACTGCAGCTATGTTCTGTGGAGGAGACACAGAGGGACTCTTTAAACTGCAGCTATGTTTCTGTGGAGGAGACACAGAGGGACTCTTTAAACTGCAGCTATGTTCCTGTGGAGGAGACACAGAGGGACTCTTTAAACTGCAGCTATGTTTCTGTGGAGGAGACACAGAGGGACTCTTTAAACTGCAGCTATGTTTCTGTGGAGGAGGGAAGGAGCACAGAGGGACTCTTTAAACTGCAGCTATGTTTCTGTGGAGGAGACACAGAGGGACTCTTTTAAACTGCAGCTATGTTTCTGTGGAGGAGACCACAGAGGGACTCTTTAAACTGCAGCTATGTTTCTGTGGAGGAGACACAGAGGGACTCTTTAAACTGCAGCTATGTTTCTGTGGAGGAGACACAGAGGGACTCTTTAAACTGCAGCTATGTTCCTGTGGAGGAGACACAGGGGGACTCTTTAAACTGCAGCTATGTTCCTGTGGAGGAGACACAGGGGGACTCTTTAAACTGCAGCTATGTTCCTGTGCTGCGTTACTGAAGCTCTCATCAGGACTAACGCTTAATTCAGTAACAGTTTGTTCTTATTCATAACAAAGCTGTAAGGAATAATAAGTTAAACATGTTCAAAAAGCTTCAGCACCTCCTTTCACCCTCTGTCTGAAACCAGAGCTTAAACAAACTACTTCATAAAAGGCATGATATAAAAAGTTGATATATTAGTCTTAGTAGGAAATAAAGGAATAAACTGACCAGAGACACAGGGGGTGAGGAAGAAGAGCAGCAGGATGAGGAAGATCATCTTCTCCCTGTGAGAGGACACACACATCAAGGCAAATGTTACACAATATAGGAAAGTAGAACAAGGTCTAAGCTGCAGTGATGTTTCCTGTCTTTTCACTTTGCTTTATCTAAATGTATTTTTTTTATCGTGAACAAATATATATAATGGAGAGGAATCAAATATTCCCAGTTCACCTAACATCCCATGTCTGTTGTTGAACTGTTGACTGAGTGAACCCACCACCCTATGATCCAGTCACACTTTGTCTCACATTATAATCTAATATAGTGATACTTAAAATGAAGACATTCATCTTTTACCTTTTTTTAGTTTTCAGTCCAGTAAAATCCAAATGGAGAGAAAAGAGGACATCTCCCGGTGTGACACATCTTCTGGGAAACAGAAGACAGACGGAGGTGATGACAGAGACTCAAGGTCAGAGAACAAGTGCGATCTCCTTATAAAGTTACGTTTCAACGGAGGAGGGAAACTCTGATGGAGGAGGAGTTTATACAATCAGTTCAAACCAGTTCAAACTGTTATTCATGCACACATGATCTCTTAGCTAATTATTGTCAGAGATAACTGTGTTTCAGTAAACAGGACTAACGGAAAGATAAGGGTCGATTTGTATTATTTCATTATTTAAGGTTTCAACCAGCGGCTGATTAGGTATGAAAAACAGCCCTGGACTTTCAACGTCCTCTCAACCCATGAATCTGAATTCATCCCAAATGTTCCACGTGGGTTTCAACTTCTTCTCAACCCATACATCTGAATGTATCACACCTTTTCCACGTACATTAGTAGATATAAAAAACCTGAAAAGGACGGAAAGCTTCTAACAACTGTGACTCTGAAATAAGATCAGCATCGTGTCAGATAAAACATGAACTCTGCACTGAGGGGATATCATTCAATACTTCCTTGTACTTTAATCCCTCAGGCTTTATATTGATATCACTTATTAAAGGCTGCAGCTTCTCTCCACTGACAATGGTGCATGATGGGAAACTCCTGACACTGATGTAATGAAGTCTTTATTGGAAGATGTAAAAAACAGTTCCAGCATGAGCTGCTCAGACGCTAAAATGTTTAGGGTTTAACGGTAATGCCAGAAACTTTTATAACAACCTGTTCTCTTCCAGTTAATAACTGTAGGTTGATTCCTACCCAACCTGCAGTCAACATGTTGATGCTTGGGAATGATACTGGACTGTGTGTGAAGGTGTGTGTATGTGTGTGTGAATGTGTGTGACTGCTTCCTTGAGCAAGTCTCTGGGGTGTGAAAAGGTGAATGATGAGTTGTGAATGTAAAGAGCTGGAGGGGTCCTAAAGACTGGATACAGAGTTAAATATAAACACAGTTTATTTACCACTTTATTTGTTTAACTGAATCACAGAGAATCTGTATTATTCCACTTAAAAGTCTAACACAGTTTCAGTGTGATGCACCCCCCACATGCTGATACAGTTAGCAGAACCTCAGACTGCTGCAGTAACACAACAACAGTGTGTGTTGACTTGTGTACATGTGTGCATTTCTGTTGAGAGATGTTGCATGATGGGAAACTGTCAGCCTATAATCTAATAGATTATAGACAGGGCTGCACATAACTGGTGCGCATGCGCACCCGCCACGAAAAAAGGAGCACCGGATCATTTGAAAAAAGGCGCATTTGCGCACCAACATTGAGAGAGAGAGATATATTTGCGAGTTGCATATTAACTGTTAAGATAGCAGGGTTTCCCACACATAGACTTTACCTGGGCGGGCCACCCAGGTATATTAACGGCCGCCCAAGTATAATTCGTAAACCGTTTAGGTTTGATTTTTTTAATCCGTCCGCGAGCACGACGGCATCTGTCGATCCCTCGCTCTACCCCCTCGCTATCGTGTGAAGGGTCTGCTTTATGCACTCCGCACAGTAACCCTGCTGCGAGGCTCCGGTGAACAGTCCATGAGCGTGCTCACTAGCGCAACTCCCCCCCCCCCCGTTTATAAAGTCAAGTACCCCTCAAAAGGTCCGGTTTATTTCATTTGAAGGATGCGCACCAAGCACCATCTCCGGGTGCTCATTTGAGAACCAGGGCAAAAAGGTTGTGTGCACCCCTGATTATAGACTTGTATTGTCATTACACAGTACAGGTACTATGTAATGAAATGGTGTTTCTGCATTTGACCCATTAGGAGCAGTGGGCGCCCGGGGAGCGGTGCCTTGCTCAGTCCCTATCGACTTCGCCACCACCGCCCACTAGATAAGAGTCAGGCAGTGGCTCAGTCAGTAGGGGCTTGGACTGGGAGCTGTAGGGTCGCCGGTTCAAGTCTTCGACCAGACCTAAATGTGGAGTGTGGACTTCTACTTGGAGAGGTCCCAGTTCACCTCCTGCCCTGCCGTGAAGCAAGGCACCGGACATCCCCCTTCCCCCCACTCCCATTGCTCCCGGGCGCTGTGCAATAGCTGCCCACTGCTCCTGATACTAGGATGGGTTAAAGGCAGAGAACACATGTCACTGTGTGTGCTCTGCATGTGAGACCATTAAAGAGGGGTTCATCCCTCCATATTCTATTCTAATGAAGAGCCGATTGTATTTTCCCTTTGAAGTCGAACAGTTCACAGGTGCTCAATATGGTGGGGATAACACTGATAACCTTTTTTAGTTCTGTTTTTATAGTTTATTGTTTTATTATAGCTGCTTTTCTTGGAAATAATCTCAGCTTGATTTCCTGATAGCAGCAATCTGGTTTTATATAGGGTTAAAGTGCATTTTCTGGTCAGACCTTTGATGCTGTGAATCAGCAGATATTGATATTGAGTCTTCTTCATTATGATCAGACAGGAAGAGTTGCGGTTTGATACAGTTATGGTTTGTCACATCTCTGATAACCACCATTGTTCTGTTATCAGTGAGATAGTGCGCTGGTTTTCTGATCAGGGGAGATAAGTTGTTTTTGTGGGCAAGACACTTCACCCCTCATTGCTCCTGTGGTGATTGTCCACAGTATTGAATGTATGTTAGTCACTTTGGCTAAAAGCGACTAACAAGTGACATGTAATGTAATGTAATGTAATGTAATGTAATGTAATGTAATGTAATGTAATATAATGTAATATGCTGCTCTAATGATAAGAGGCCGTAAAACATTAATTTTGCACTTTTCAACATGACCAATTTCAACGTGCTGAACGAACTGTACTGTACTAAATAGAAAATACTTCCAATATATTTTACATTGAACTCTAGAATCGGAGAGTTCATGTAACGTAAAGAAACATATAGAACCCAGAACACATCTTCCACAAATGAAACCCTACAAACCAGCTCACAGAGGGGTGAATTGTGTTGTAATATTTATTAGGTTTGCAACGGTTTCTTTTGGTATTGGTCAGCGTTTGTAATATTATAATTTATTCATTTATCATTGTGTGATCCATATGGGTTAGTGGAGCTGGGTCACACATAGACAGCGGTGAATGAGAGGGTCTGTATTTCTGACGACCACTTTAGAGCTGTGATTATTCAGATCACAATGTTGTGCCTTTATATAAGCTGATCATTTGTACTCACTAAAGCTAATAAAGTTATATCGAGTCAAGTCTTAAAACATGTGTGGGTTGGTAACACATCAGACACCATCCCCCTGAGTAGGGGCACCCCAAGGATGTGTGTTCAGCCCCCTGCTCTTCACCTGCTGACCCCGACTGCACACACAGCTCCAACACTTCTTAAGTTTGCAGAACACAACCTGACTTTGACTGACTTTTATGATCATGAGCAGATGAATATGACCTCATAAACGGTTGGCTGCCATCCAGCTTTCACATTTGCCAAGATAAGTTAATGGTTGGATCCTGAAACGTTGGACATGTAATAAAGGCCAATCAAAACAAGGGAGAGCAGATACTTTAACCTTTGACCAACAACTCAAGTTTTACAGGTGTAATTCTTCCGTTGAGTGCCTCTAAAGGGAGAGTCAAAACTACACTCTAGAATTTGGAAATGTGTAACTTTTGTATTCGACCTAAACCTTTGTACATCATCCAGATCCAATGGCGATCTTTTGAGAGGCGGTTTCAGTGCATGGTTATTCAAAAATGAAGGCACACATTTGAGGAAAGGGACTGTGTTCATAATGTTGAGCAGTAAAAGAGGAGATGGATCCTTTTGGAATATCTTACAAATATTCAACATGCCAAACCTGACTTTTATAAAATCTGGAAACTTCACTTGAATTGTCGTGGGTCTGGTTTGTGAGTTAAGAAGCTTCCTGAAGGGGATGTCCTGTAACTCTGGAATAAAACCTGAGTGTTATTTTTGTCTGCATGAATGCCATTTTAATGTATTTGCCCCTTCCTTCCTCTCACTAAAGTGTAGTTAAACATTTTATATAAATGCACTTGCTCACTTTTACTCTGTATTGGTGGTTGTGTGTTATTGTCTCAGTTCTCTGTATTCCAAGTAAAACCAGGACATCCACACATTTTGTAGTTTAACAAAGTCTACCTGTAGTGCTGTGATGGTTTGTGTTTTAGTAATCCAGCAGAGCATGCAGAAGCAGGTGAATCAATGAGAGCAGCAGCTACAACATCCATCCATCCATCTTCTCCCGCTTATCCGTGGTCGGGTCAGTAGTTCCAGCAGAGAGCCCCAAACTTCCTTTTCCCTGGCGACATCAACCAGCTCTGACTGGGGGATCCCAAGGCGCTCCCAGGCCAGCGAAGAGATATAACCCCTCCACCTGGTCCTAGGTCTACCCCTTGGTCTCTTCCCAGCTGGACGTGCCTGGAACACCTCCCTAGGGAGGCGCCCAGGTGGCATCCTAACTAGGTGCCCGAACCACCTCAACTGGCTCCTTTCGACGCGAAGGAGGAGCGGCTCAACTCCGAGTCCCTCCCTGATGACCGAACTTCTCACCTTATCCCTAAGGGAGACACCAGCCACCCTGCGGAGAAAACCCATCTCGGCCGCTTGTATCCACGATCTCGTTCTTTCGGTCATGACCCATCCTTCATGACCATAGGTGAGGGTAGGAACGAAAATGGCCCGGTAGACAGAGAGCTTTGCCTTCTGGCTCAGCTCCCTTTTCGTCACAACGGTGCGGTAAAGCGACTGCAGTACCGCTCCCGCTGCTCCGATTCTCCGGCCCATCTCACGCTCCATTGTTCCCTCACTCGAGAACAAGACCCCGAGATACTTGAACTCCTTCACTTGGGGTAAGGACTCATTCCCTACTTGAAGTGCACAGTCCATCGGTTTCCTGCTGAGAACCATGGCCTCAGATTTGGAGGTGCTGATCCTCATCCCAGCCGCTTCACACTCGGTTGCGAACCGATCCAGTGAGTGCTGAAGGTCGCAGACCGATGAAGCCATTAGAACCACATCATCTGCAAAAAGCAGTGGTGCAATCCTTAGT